GCGCAGGAGGAGGGGGTGGGGGCTGAATTCAGACAAGGATTAAGAGTCGAGAACGGTACTTCGAGCCTTCTTCTTTCTCTAATAATTTAATGAAACTCCAAAGTTTCCGCGCTTTACGCGGGAGGGGAGGAAACTGAATTCAGATAAGGATTAAGAGTCGATAACGGTACATCGAATCGTCTTCTTTCTCTAATAAATTGATGATGTCAAAACTTCCACGCTTCGCGCGGGGGGGGGGGGGGGGACTGAATACAGATAAGGATTAAGGGTCGAGAAAGGTACAACGAATCGTCTTCTTTGTCAAATAATACGTCAAGGCTTCCGTGCTATGCGCAGGAGGGGCGGACTAAATACATGCAGATAAGGATTAAGGGTCGGGAAAGATACAACGAATCGTCTTCTTTGTCTAATAATACGTCAAGGCTTCCGTGCTATGCACAGGAGGGGCGGACTGAATTCAGACAGGGATAATGAGTCGAGAAAGGTACAACAAATCGTGTTCTTTCAAAGCTTCAGCGCTTCGCGCGGGAGGCCTCCCTGCACCCACCCCCCTAGGCAGCGCGCTACGCGCGCTCTTTAAGTGATTCGCACGCTTTGCGTGCTCACTTCCGCCCCCCCCCCTAAAATGAAATCCTGGCTACGCGCTTGCGTTGCCAACTCTAATAATCAGATCTGGAATTTCAACAGATTAACCAAAAACTTATTGAACGCTGATTGTGTTATTCCCTTTCATGAGCTTGTAATACACTGGTTTTCATTATCACCATTGATCTTTGTCAAACAAACGTGTAAAAGAATACTCTTAATGCAGACATAACGTTGCCAACTCTAATAATCAGAGAGCATTCGGGGCGAAATAGAATCCTTGACCCAAAAGATATAATGCGACTCTCATTGATTACCCTGTACTCGATAATGTCGAATTACCGCTCTTCAATGTCTACATGGGCGTCTCCAGGCCCATCTTGAATAGAGGGATGGGGTGCCGAATGTCAGGCCAAATTTGTCGACATTCAAAATCAAAATTACCGCTTTTCAATGTCTACATGGGCGTCTCTAGACCATCTTGAATGAAAGAGGTGGCGAGTGTCGGGGCAAATTTGTCGCCAAACAAAATTTAGAATTCTTTATCCAAAGTAGCTACATTAATATCAACCCATTCTGGAAAAAATTTATTTCTGTGCCGAATTGATCGCCTATTATTCTTCAAATTGACAACAATGGTATTTTTATTTTATTGCTAGGCTTACATTGTTGAAATATAATGTCATGTATCTGAATCAATAAACATAGGCGAGATGTAGTCGAAAGATGGAAATACGCCAATTTTGATCGGTAAACTGTAATTATGAATCTATCAGCTTATTGCCAAATTGGGGATTTTACAGTTTATTTTCCTATTTAAAGTTCAAAACATCAAACGCAATTAAGCCATGAAAAAATATGGATGCCATTTCTGTTTATGCTCCCAGAAATATATTATGGTTCTGAATCGAAGATTTTCGCGAAAGGAATAATGCTGTTCCACTTGCAAGCCAAGCAATTATCATAACCCTAGCATTGTGAGGTACCAATCTACTAAACCTGGATCGAGGGTGGCATATGGGTGAAAAGTCAAAGCGCCGAGTGAGAATCTATCCCGAGACCTCAAGTATTTGATTCAAGAACATTCACCAAATACCACAGTGCCTGGAGAAAAAATAAATGAAATAAATACGATTTACCGACAAAGCTCTGTATTTTCAGATTCGCTTTATGGGCGGGGGTCACAGCCCCACATCCCCCATCTTCCCTATAGCGACATCCCAGTCGTCTTAATTATCATCAGTCAACCGGTAATGATGTTCACCAAACAGCCGAGTAAAATGCTCCAATAATTACAAGAGCGGAATCGAGATCAAGTGGAATATCTCGCAGTCTAGTATTGCCAGCGGGTTATTTATTATATGGAAGGTCAAATCTATACTGTACCTAGTCAGACTGTATGGTCATCGAGAATTAGAAGGAAAAAGGAAAGATGGTAGGAGTTTGGCAACAGAAAACTAAAAGCCCTTGGCAACCTTTAGTTCAAATTTGATTCAATTCAATCCAGTCCTATTCAAAGAGCATTTGGCATAGCGTCTCTTCTTTGCAGTTGGAAAGCGCTTCACAATTTGCTTCGCGACGTTGTATAATTGCCGCTTAAACTCAGTTTCAAAGCGTATAATATTATCATAGTTATTAGTAGCGTTCCCAGAAATTAGTGTTCTCCGAGTCATTCTGTTTGTGACGATTTTCCTCCTAATACGTAAGCTCTGCGTTTCCACCCTTTATTGCGGCGTAGTAAACCCAATGGAAAGCTCATGTGATTTGAGAAACAGAATTTATCTTCAGTGGGTTAAAATCTTAATTGCAAACCTAAAACAGTTGATTAGACGAAAAGGAGCATAAAGTACAAACAGATGTCTTGCTCAGAAAAGACGAATGCCCCTTCACACGTTCCAGCGTTAAGGAGCTGGGTGCTTTGTGTGACACTAAACGAGCTTGGCAAACATCCTCAAATATTCGAGAAACAACTCGGAACGTTAATTTTAACCTGTTTTACTTGACATAACCAATACTGATTCACGGGAATTCTAAACGTCGACAATATACTCGTCGTGGTTCCCGCAGAGCCTTGGATGCCTTTGAACAAGAGGTGTTATTTCACTGACGTAGGAATGCGTCAGCGCCTGATGAATGAATGCGTCAGCGATTGGCGCTGTATTTGACGCGCCACGTGAGGGCGCCAATTTCCAAAAGAAGTAAATATAAAATAGCTGACTTGCATAAAATTCTGAATTACAAATTTACAATAAATGTTCACCATCAACTTGATTAGCGTAAATAATAGCGCAATCAAAATTACACCGCGTGTGCAACTGGTACTGTGGTTCGAAAGCACCAGAGTTTTGGAAAAGATTGGCACTCGGAGGGTAAAGTATGAACCCTATGTCATGGGCCCGCTGCGTCTGGGCACGTGGCATGGATTCGTCACACATTGCCCTGACATTTTAAGTAACGGAAAAACAGGTCAAACCTGTGTGGTTATGTATACAGACAAACCCGTTTGCCCACTCGATCAGGCTCAGGTGGCTGATCATTTGACAACAAAACGCTGCGGTTTACAGCACTTTCGATAACACGATACGATAGCTTTAAGAAAAGGGGACACAAATATATCAAATTTGGAAATATGATTTAAACGTTTACCCTACTTCTTCAATAGTAGAACAGTTATGTTGATCCGGTATCCTGTGAATTTGAAACTCAATCAGAACAGACAAAGGCAGAATTTAGAAGAGACGGTTTGAAGTAATAGAGAGAAAGTGCATAGAGATTTTCTTTTTAAATAGATGGGAGAAAGATATTTTTCATCAACAATATCAATCTGAAGGGATTTGCCTCGGCCCACAAGTAAAAGAAACATGAAATATTTACATTTATCCTTTAAATACCGTTTTCTCGCTCTTTTTCTCGAGTAAAATTTTGTTCTACTTATTTACCTGCATGTCTGTAAATAATTGTATTTTTGTTCATGATTATTTTGTTGGTGCCGTTTGTAAAAAGGGAAAGTTGGGGCTGAAAAGACGTTTTGTGTCATTTTCTTAGTTTGGTTGCTTGTCGATTAGTATCTGCAAATACTTGGGGGACAGGGATAAGACTGAAATGATTTCTTGTTTAATATCGACATTATTTTGCTTGTCGGAATGTTTTGTTGAGGTGGGTGGTTTAAGATTACCTGAACAAAGCAGTAATAAGGATGAGAGAAAGGAAAGAAAATTTGATTAAATTCCAATAAAAGAGTCATCGCGTCTCTTTTAATGGGGATATTATGTGATAAGCGGATCAATATTACTTCCTTATATAAACTTACTTACAGTGAACATTTTAAGCAAGAATCAAGTCAATAAACGGCGAGCTGTTTTATATAGCAAGCAGGAGTTATCCTTTTGCTAGATAGGACCAGGTATTTAAAGTGAATTGTAGTTTCTCGTCCACAAACGAGAAACTAAGATCGGTTTTTACCTGGCCTAAGATCTCGTTGCTCAATAATGGTTGGCATGAACCCAATTTGAAAAAGACATTTCAAAGGTTTTGTAAATTAGTTGTAACAGGACACGAATCGGATGAGGATAAAGCCATTACCAGCTGATGGGCAAGGCAATAGACCCCCTTCTCCCTAGGCAAGACAATTTCCTCTTCCCTGGGCGAATAGAATATATCATTCCCTTGGTAATGCCCTTGTTTCGTATTATTCTACTAATTACAAATGGATTCCAATCGATAATAATAGTCGTGGTGCCATGAAACTACTAAACCTTTAGCTGGAAATCATGATCGGAAAGACGTTACAAAATCAACCACTGGCAATTTCTGTAGCCTCGTGCTTAAGCTTTCGAAAGGTCTGAACAATACCAGGATGATTACAATGACTTATACATTATTCAATAGTGGTATTTATAGGCAGTTCAATAGTGTAGTGGAGGTGTTCTTGAGACGGTGTCTTCAAAGTCTTTCCGACAGTGTTTGAATTGCTTTGACAATTGAGAGGGATGATGGGTAAGATTCAGAGTCTGGAAACGAAATTAAATTGGGTCGAATGCGATGATTGTCTGAGAGGGCAGACAGAATTCGACACGTTCGATGTATCAGCCCCATCGCCTGGTTTTGATGCAGGGTCATTGGAATCGAGAGTCTGGATGCTCTCTCTCTCTCTCTCTCTCTCTCTCTCTATCCCCTCCTTTATATCTCCCTCTATCTTTTAATAGATTTTGTTTGTAAAAGTTGAGTAGAAGTTATTAAATATACAATTCAAAAAATGTCTTTTAGTTGATCTTTTCTCATTACCCAACCCACTCCCCCTTCTCTCTCTCTCTCTCTCTCTCTCTCCCTTTCCCGGGCCCCCACACCACCCCTCTCTCTCTCTCTCTCTGCCCCTAATTGATTCCTTTTGTCCCTTTATCTCCTTTATAGCTTACCTTCAGTTGGCGGGTCTCTTGCCATCTTCCACGTACAGCTATTTTTTGCTTCCAGTTTTGCTGTCATTATCTGACGAATGATATTATCTTGTGACGATGCCGAGACACTCATCTGTAATGGATGAAACAAAGCACAAATTCAATATATTAATTTAAAAACAAACATCTGCATATTAAAGAGACCAAATTTTGTGTTTAATTGCCATGTGCTATAAAGATATTTCATCACAGAAATAGGGATAGGGATTAGAATATATAACATGTAGGTTAGTTAGTTTTAAAAATCTTTGATTTGTATAGTGAGCGTTTGATGGTGGATCATTTATTGCGAGAATATGTGTCGTCAAACCTGTAAAAACAGGAAGGGGTTGGCAATCCGTCCGTTGGTAGAAAGAAAGAAAGAAATTGAGTCATATACTTATTTATGAAAACATTATTAGCATTAAATATGGGCAGGAGAAATAAGATATTGATTTATCCGCGATACAAATAATCATAAATCCAAAGGTGTCATGATTTCATCCCGAAAATTTCAGAGGAATTTCTTACCAATATTACCACTCCAAAATATAATCTCCCTCCGCATATCATTTTTGGATTAATTTTTTCTTCCTGCTTTTCATCAGTCATTTGTATACAGTTAAATGCCACCTCATTCAATACGACAACCTTTTTATAGTGCACAATGTTGTCTTCACACATATCACATAAAATAATGGTAAAGAACGTTTTTGAATGGATGAAGAGCAATCAAGTTTCCTTCTGTCTTAAATTTATTGGGCTGGATATTTCCTCAGGCTGTATTTTACCAAGGATATTCTAGGCTCGCCTAGAATCTTCTCAATTATATCGAGGCAAGAATCTTGACTTTTCACGACGAAAGGAAACGATTTTAAATAATTTGTAGTGTTAAATGGGATCCCCATTTCATTGTATATTCATCTGTAATGTTGTATATATTTAGAGATAATGCAATGATACGAATGAAGGTAATTATATATTTGCCCTCCAGATATACCACATGTGTATTTTTTCTGGATTCTTATCCCTAGAAATGAGACAGCCAATTACAAATGTAACGGAAATAGCCGAGGGCCTTTCTGAAATAAATGCATCTGACATTTTCTTCTTAAACCCTTCCCTTAAAAATAAATGATCTGGATATAGCAGTAGACAGACTCGAAAGAGGGACGATGGAAAAAGATAGTTCAGAGTAATGTACAAACAGGAAAAGAGAGAGATAGAGAGAAGAGAGGGATAAGGAGAAAGAGGGAAAGAGAAGAGAGACAGAGGGGGAGGGGAGGACGGGAAAGGAAAAAAAACATCTCCTGAAAAGCAAATAAACATGAATATAGCATTAACATTTTAAGAAAGGTCTATTGAAGTTATACAGAAAAGATAGATGTACTAAGAGAAAGTGGATAGGAATAAGAGGTGATTGAGGAAAGAGAGACCAAAATAATATTTTTAAAAAGAGATAGAGAGAATAACCATGAAGTGGGAAAACCATGGAGATTTACATGTTTAAGTATAGGAATTTCGCTCCAATGCTTGCTAACTCGCTGGAGCGTGTTAAAGGTTGTTGACAACGGACAAATTATTTACAAAAGAGGCCCATCAAACTTGAAAAGAAAGGTTAAATTCAGGTCAAGAAAATGTGTGAATTTTCTCTTTATGTGTATTACCATGAAGAAAGATATCATGATTTTAATCTGATATAAGAAATAGAATACAAATGAATGGAAATAACTAACTGTCTTGGACTTTTTGATGGCACCTGTTTTCTGCGGCTGCTTCTTCTTCTTCTTCTTCTTCTCCACCTTCTTCCACTTCTTCTTCTTCTTCTTCTTCTTCCTCTTCTTCTTCTTCTTCTTCTTGCTCTTCTTCTTCTTCTTCTTCTTCTTCTCCACCTTCTTCCACTTCTTCTTCTTCTTCCTCTTCTTCTTCTTCTTCCTCTTCTTCTTCTTCTTCTTCTTCTTCTTCTTCTTCTTCTTCTTCTTCTTCTTCTTCTTCTTCTTCCTCTTCTTCTTCTTCTTCTTCTTCTTCTTCTTCTTCTTCTTCTTCTTCTTCTTCTTCTTATTCTTCTTCTTCATCATCTTCTTCTTCTTCTCCTTCTTCTTCATCTTCTTCACTCTTTATAAGACGGGGCCTGTTCTACAGTAGGGCATATTGCCTATGCTCCCAAAATTGTTAACGACGCAAACATTATACTTTCGCTAACTCGTAATGTTATTAAGATGCACAACATGTTACCAAATGGTTCCCAAATCCTGATTATTATTCTGGAGGCTCTCGATATTATAGTTTATAGGACCACAAGGAATACCGATTATTTCCTTCCTTTGGCTAGGTGAACGACATTTTGATAGAAACATTGACACGGTTAATGGTACTGACATCGATGTGAGGTCACTCAAAATGACGAATAAACTTTGCTCCCCCTTGAAAGAGCCCCTTAATAGGTACAGTATATTGAAATGTTGCATGATCTTCATACAAATCACCACTTAGTTACCCCTTTATGTATCATCAAAAGCACAAACATGCCAACTTTAATGAGCAAATACGTACGAAAATGTATAACTTAGCCTGGTTTATATAACATTGTACTGTTTATCTAAAGGGCTCTTACCTAAATGCACTGTCGCTAGAAAGTAGTAATAGGGGTGTCGACCCCTTCTAAAATTGTTATTACATATTGTGGTGGGGGCAGAGAGGCGGGTGAGTGCGGTATGGTGATGGGGGGGAGGGTAGAGGAGGATAGATAACTGATAGGAAATTCATTGTTTTCTTATATTTATGTTGTTTTCCATTGGATATTTTAAATTTAAATTTTATTTGAAACACCTGTTTCTCTGGAGATGTGCGCTCTATTAATGTTGACATTATCATCATAATAGGACAATACGTGGTGCCATTAATGTTTCTGTAGTATATGGTCAAAAGATATTTCGTCTGTCAAATTCTCAAATCCTGTGTAAACTATACTTGTACGGTACCAGTATCATCATGTCAGAACGGACATTGTGGAGAAAATGAAACTCAGATGGAAATTATCTCTCTTCTGGTTTCACAGGGTAGTAGACAGTTTTAATCAAATAATTAGCACTGAACACCGTCTTTCGTCTACAGCAAATACAAAAATGGAAACAAAAATCTTTATTTAATGTAAAATCAGTTTTACAAGAACAGCTTAATAATGTATTGTTTTGCATAGACTGATTTATAGTTATCCTTGACATAAAATTGGTGCTATGTGACCGGTCCTGTAAAACAGTGATTAATGCTATGTGACTGGTCCCCTAAAAGAGAGACTGGTGCCATGTGACCGGTCCCGCATTTATAAGTACAATGTGACTACTGACTGGTCCCGTATTATCGGTCTGGTGTGACCGGCCTCGCAGACATTGCAGCAAGGTGCAGGTGTCGGAGCTATGTGTGAACCCCCAACGGACAGCTATAAACGACGCACTATATTTCCTCTGAGACTTCAAACCTTTCAAGAGCTGATACGCTGTCACACAGCGTAAAATGTAACAGCGGGGCAACGGCAAGAAAAGACGCCTCCGGAATTACTCAATTGGCAAAAGCCATTCAGGTAATTTTATTGGTGGGGGTACACGTCTGAATGAACGTAATTTCATTTTAGTAATTAGTGTGAAAATGGCTAGGTGTGTGCTCCTTTATGGAGGAAAATACTTTTGCAACTCTCCATGTTATTTGCAGAAGGAATATAGTCCGTAAAAGTGTTTTCAAATTATTTGATTTCCAAATACAGCAGTGGTGTCGAATTATTCATGTGCAAGTTATTCAACTGTAGTGCTCTATAGTAGTGCTCTGTGATTATTTCGTCCAAATTAAAGGGGTTGGGATTATGGTTGCGTTTGGTCTTAGGCTAGGGTTACGATTACGGTTAGGATAACGTATAATGATGAATCCAGGGTTGAAGTTATGAATTCATTTAGTTTAGGAAATTATCGCAGAGCAATGGTCGTAAGAGTTTGGATGGTACAATCTATTGTCTAGTTTATAGACTTTTTCACTTTTAAACACGAAGTTCTAAGCCAGCTCGCTTTGTAACTCCTTGGTTTGATAGGGGTGTGTAGATAGCTTTGTGCGTATGTATCTCTTCGAAATTCCGTAACATATTCACAGTAACTCTATAGGGAAATCATTTTGCTTTCCGATGTTTGTACTAAAATTCATCTGAGATCGTGAGCGGAACAACAAAAACATTGGGTTCATGCATCATTTAATACAATGACACTCTAAGAGAAGCATTTACTTCTCCTTTAGGACTTAAGATTTTAAGTACTTAAAAACTCACCTTCACGTATTACTTGAATAGCGATGAGTGAAGTGTTTCAAATATTTGCACTTACATTTACGGGAGGTCATGAGCAGAACATCGAAATATCTTAGCATAAGCAATATTTAATACAGATAGAACCATTAAAGGGACACATTTCATATGTTTAAGTCCGGTTTATTTTGTTTCGCTCTCAGAATGAAAGGATGCCCTTTAAAACCCCTAGTTTCATATCTTAGTTAGATAGCATTATCTGAATGAAATTAAAATTGACAAAAAGCATCCAATAGATATTGGAAACATTGAAACTAGGTTTAAATCATTCCTATGCATCGTTATACATTGTATTGTGCATTCTTTGTATTATTACGCTATGTTTGTATTCTTTATTATGTATCATTATCATGACATGTAAATGTGTTGTACTTTCTCTCTCTCTCATTCCCCAGAAGGGGCTCGTAAGAGTTAATAAATTCTATTCTATTCTACTAAAACTAAAAATAGTTTGAATCGAGATTTCCTGGTCCAGTGGATACTTCTCCTGCTTGTGAGTCACAGGGTTTGCGGTTCGATTACCCCTGTTACACTAATGTCCTATGACAAGACATTGATCATAAATGAATACACAGTAGGAAAAAATTCCAGCTACAGCCGGGGTAAGAATATATTTTGTATACACCGCAGTAGGTTATATCCATAAAGCTAGGCCCGTCTTATAACGTGTTGCGATTGATCCGAATCTATCGCAAGTCCTCCCATCAATCGCAAGTTTGCAGTCTCCTATCTCTTATATACATAGTTGC